TTTTTTTTTTTTTTTTTTACAAAAATGAAATGAAATTACGAGTGCTGTTTATAACTTGCTTTCTTCACACTTGATCATGGGTATTTTTCCATGTTAGTAAATAAAACTTTTTTAATGGCTACACAGAACATGTCAGATTTTTTCTTCTTCAAGAATTTCATAAAGATAAACTTAAAAAATAATATCCAGAGACTCCCTCAAGGTTTATTTCTTTTGCAGACAGTGTTCTTTAGTTTACTAGTGTCATATGAAGCCTCCTCTAATTTTAGATATTGACTTTGCTTTGTTCTTTTGACTAGAATTTAATATTTACATACTTTTGAAACCTTTCTCTGATGGATTGGGTGAGCCGCCTGTCTAGACGTTGGGCCTTTATAATGTGGCTTCCCTAAGAATAAACATTGCATGCAGGGACATGATGTTAGACTCTTGGTGGAAAAAAATTAAAGACAAAGGTACAGTGTAAGCTTAGGGAGGAGTATTTCCTGATGAATAATGCTGAGGAGAGAGGTATTGGATCAGATGGTATTTGTGAACTACTTGTAATCAGATGCATTTAAATTAGTTACTAAGGGAAGTTTTAACATCACTCTTGGGTAAACTTTGAAAACTGGTTGAGTTCTTGCCTCAGAAATAAAGCAAAAGCAGGAGATTACTTCTCAGATCTACCTCAGTCCTAGGATTGCTGGATCTAGTTCACCTGAAACTTGTAATAGAATTTCAAATTTAGGCAGTAAATGGACTTTCTTGGAATAATTTTCTTAGTTTCTATTGCTACCAAGTTTTTAAATCTAAAATATTGTTTTGTGTAAATAATTAGAATAAACTGCAGTAGTATCCTTTTCAACAAGAACTTTAGTTAAGTTGTCTTTAGGAATCATTGTCTTATTCCAGTCATTTATTCCATGTAAATTTTAGAGCAGCAACATTGGAGTTGCTGCCAGTTCTAAAATTAGGGTATTATGTACAAACTACCACTTAAAGTACACTTATTTGATTGACTTAATGGGTAAAATTAGATTATTAGGTTTTGTTCATCTTCTCCCCCAAAAAAGGAATATGATATGAACTTCAAACCAGGGTGGATATTCAATATTGCTTTATGCTGTGGCTCTTAAAATTTTGTTTAATTCCTTAACCTAGAATCTTGAAGCTTAAAGGGGATTTTGGAGCCTGAGATCAGTCCCCTAACATTGCAGAATTTTTTCTGTAAAAAATTTCATTTCATTTCATTCTTCTAATTAGGATGTAGAAGTTGAATTAATGTCACGGTTCCTGACCCCCCCTGACTAAATAAAGCTCCACTTCCCATTAGTAAGAATTTAGTAATTACTATAGATACTATGTAGAGGTCCATGATCAAATCTCAAGACCTCTAAGTGTTATTCTTCCATCTAAGAAGCTTAAAATTCAGTGAACCTGAGATGTGCCAGTAATTTAGACCTAAGTCAATATAAGATGGCTGAGGCCTTTCCCATTAAGCTTGGGATGTTCTGTTGAGATTAGATTAATTGAGGGAAGGCCAAACATTTGAAATGCTCTTTATATTATTGGTAGGTAGGGAGTAGGTAGGTAGGTAGAAAGGAAAGTACACACCACACTTTTTAAAAGGAGACAACTAGTGTTTTCACTGAACATTACAAAGGAACCTGCTGTCTACCTGCTATCTTGGCCCAATAACTTGCATGATAGTTAATACTTATGGAGGTTATTTTCTTTACTTTTATCAGCTTCAGCTTAGCTAATCCACTGCCACTAGTTGATGTAGAAGCTGTGGGTAAATTATCAGAAGCACAGTTCAGTTGTTCCCATGCCATTTGTATTTGAGCCTTGCCAGAAATTCTCAGAGCCTTGACAGAGGATGAAAGAGCCTCTAACATATTCAGGAAACTGAACAGTTGGCTCAAAGCTTGCAAAGGCAGTCCCAAGTTTAGGTATATAATAATATCTGAGATCTTGTTTATAAGAAACTCTAGTTTACCTGCACTGGGTTTCTGGTTAGTTTAATATTTTGTGCAGCATTTCTGGAATCAGAAAGTCATTGCTGCCTGGCCGGGCGTGACTCAGCAGTTGAGTATCGGCCTAGGATCCAGGAGATCACGGTTCGATTCCCGGTCAGGGCACATGCCCGGGTTGTGGGCTCGATCCCCGGGGGGGG